GAGATAATATATTTAAAAATTTGTTTCATCATAGTCGATTCTTAGATATTGCTCAACAATTAATTCAAACACGATCAATACATTATCTTATACGTAAGTGATTCAAGTGTCCTATTGTACGATTTTTTTTTTTATAGACAGCGGTCGGAAAAAACGTAAATGGCTACACTTAACAATGTTATCATCTGATAGAGAATACTTTCAAGTATAAAAAAAAGTAGTTTTGCAAACTAACAGTTTTTTTCTTTTATCTGATATAGAGACCGAGAGGTTTCTCGGAATTTATCAAAGAACTTTTTGTCTTTTTTTTTTGAGTGGAAAATAGTGGCATACAGAAATCAACTAATTTAGACAATTTTTTTTTGAATTTTTAATCAGTCAGAACAATGGTACAACTAAACAGTCAGACATTTCACTGCATTATTTTATAACTTTCTTCAGAAATGAGTTAGAGTTTTAATATTCTCTATATAAATTGCATTCCCCATTTGAAACTCGTGATAAAAAAATCAGCTCTTAACTCTTTATAGTTGCACTGGGAGATAGGCAATATCGAATGGGACAAATTATGAGTCTCACGCCAATGATGTCAGTGCTGTGCAAATTATTCAAAAATGGTAAAAGGTAATAACTTGCAGTTTTCAGCATTCGATAGTATCCAAATTGTTTAGTCTTTGTGTATAGAAGAATTTGACTTAAAATGTTTATTGACTTCACAGTAGAATCAAAAGTAGATGAAACATTGTTTTTTTGATCTTTTCTGTAACCACTGAAAAGTGCTATTTTCTATCAGAGAAAGATAGATCAATTGAAAATTAGGCTATCAGTAGATAGACCATTCTATTTCTAGATGAAACAAAAGAAAGAAAGAAAACAAGCATGTGAGGAACCAATATAAAACCATATAAACAAGAAACGTGGAAAATCGACTTTGTTTTGAACACTAGTCATAAACGATAATAAATAGAAAAATAATTTTTGCTGCTGAGATACAGAATGATCAATAGGTACTTTGGTGCAAATTTCGATCAATTTAACTAAGCAAGAGTTGAGAAACAAAAGGAACCATTTTTGGATGTGAAACGGTACAATAGACACTACAATCACCCACATAATCTTTCGACATTTATCTGTATTTGATGTTGACTTCAGTAAGAAGCAATATCTTGAGAAAATTTAGAAATAAACATACTGATTCACAAGCAACTGTATCGATAAACAGTTAAATATCTTCACTATATTTTAATAAAATCATCTGGAGGGTTGGACGAAACCTTCCAAAATCGAGAAATTGTTCCACTTATAGCAAAAATGCTTCACTCCTCACCTCCACAAAAAAGTCAAGACGAAACGCTTTATTAAAACAACTGCAGCCGTTATATCAATCCAATTTTCAAGGGATATCGTGAGGAATATGTTCAACAAATACTACATTGAGTTGTCAGATACAGAAAGATAGTTCTTAATAAATTATAAAAAGAGTAATAGATTTATTCTAGTGACTAGTAATAAAAAGTATATTTATTTATTTCCGATTATATCTTATTATTATTTTTTTTGGCCAGAAACTTCTATGATATTACTGTTTTATTCTAACAGTTTTCAATCATTATCAGAGAGAATTTATTGAGAACAATACAAAATTATTGTTTGAACTCTCGTCAATATTGTATTTCTTCACTAATAGGTATTGCCAAATTTCACAGCAGAGGTTTTAAACATTTTGTTCGCAAATAGCAATATCCTTGGAAAGATAAGTTCGATTCTGCAAATTGTGATGAATATATTCAATTAATAAAGTCATTTTTAGTCAATCTCTTTGTCAATTACAATAAAATACATATAGGGAAAACAATTAGAAATCTGTAGAATATCATTTGTTCTATACAATACAAAAATTAGGTAAATAATTATCTAAAAACAAGCGAGAATTTTCTTCGGATAGTCTTCTAACATTTACGATTCAATAATTATAGAAAAACTCTAAATAGAAATGTACAAAGATAATATTAGGGACTGAAATAGATAGACTAATAATCGAGAATAAATAAATAAAATTCATTCTAATCGATTATTTTTCGGATTTAAATAATAAAATAATAAATATTTTTCAAAATTTTTTAACTTTATCTGATATAAGAGATGTAGTTGAAAATATTTACTAATAATTGTCGAATAAAGATACTTATAACAAAATGATTTTGTTCCTTCTATAGAACTGTTCTGTAGATTTCGTTTCAAATTAATTTTGATTATTTCCAATTGTTCGAATATGATATTTTTCATATAAAAAGCCATAAGATCTCATTTTTCTAACGAATTTACGTTAAATTCTTTGTTTATTTGTACCTAAAGCTTTTCTTTTCTTTTTCAAAATGACTATTGATTAAACAATTCTTGACTTAACGATCAAGAAAAACAACAGCAATCCTTTTTTTTCACTCGATCATGTTCACATTAATCTATGATAACCATAAAAAAACATCCGTTTCTATATCTCTATGATGATACCAATAAAAAGTCAAAACATTACTGATATATTAATTTTAATAGGCATCAACAAAGATTATAAAACCCTATAAATCTATCGAAGAAAAAACAAGAATTGAGGAAAAAGATGAAAGGAAGAGAAAATATTTGAATGGCGACAATGTGAGCAGAAGAGAAATAAAAATATTTCTGTGATTACAGAAAACACGAGCTGGAAGATAACATATAATATAAGAATATTTTCCTATGAAAACTTTATTGTTCTTAATAGAAAAGTGAATTTTAAGGAAAAGGCACGAATAGTGTTTGTATTATTACAGTAATTACTTATGAATAATACTGTTTCGTGTGTCCTACAATAGTCACTATACTATGACATCCAAGATAAAGAAAACTCTATAACTATTATGATCGATCTATATTCTTCGCTTCATTAATATCATCACAGGAATGAATAATAAATAACTTTTATTTGGTAATAGAAATAAATTGTGAATGTGAGTGCTACTTTTCTTCGTAGAATAAATCGTATAAAATAACATTCTCATAAAAACATATCTGAATACCTTGTTTTAGAGATTGAAAAGTAATTGTTCAATATCAGAGTTTCGAACGGGTCTACTCTTCGTTGGCCTGGCCTGCCCATGACAGGCAATGAACCTTTGTAGCCTGCCTGCGCTTCTCATTCGTTTTCGTCGACTTGGTCTGTCTGTTGCAGCCTGGGTACTTTTTTTATGTAGAAATATTAGACTAATAATTGAGTGAAAGTTGAAAACTGTCTTTATGAGAAGACAACGAAGTTACGGATATCAAGACAAACCTGATTAAGCGAAGCATTTATTGATTTAATAGAGTATGTAAGTGTCGAGTAAAAATAAGAAAAATATTAACATTTAGAAGAGAACTCTGTTGTTGAGTAAAAACATTGTGAATAAATTTAATAAACTATCATCTGTTAAAAAATATAATGCCTGTGACCATTTTTGCAATAACTCACAGAGCAGAATGATATTTTTTAGTGGTAGTTGGCCGCAATGAGCGGATGAAATTATCAAAATTTCATCTCATTTCATAATTTTTTATTAAAAAGAATTAGTAGAATTTTTTCATCGTCCTTGGCAGCTGTATTTTCCATTAATTCGCTTGCATTCAACACCAATCCGATGGATTTTACATGAGTTGTTAAGTAGCAAGGCCGTTTTTAAATCTCACGTGACATCAACTTATAGAATGACGGTAGATTTGATATTTAGAAAAAAGTATAATAAGAAGCATGATAAAAGATCCAATGAATCCCATATCCGAAACTTGAGAAGTTCAACTAAGAAAGGAACTATTCGGTTATATGACTTTTTTCTCTATAGGCGGCAGAAAAAAATCGATCTATTATGTGTTGCGCATCCAATATCTCTAGGGTAGTTCGAGATAAATTTGTGATTTTTTTGTATGGTAATGAGGACTTCCTAGACAAGTCTAACCTGAAAAAAATCATAGAGATTGATTGAGAAGAATTTGAGATATTGAAACTTTACGTATAAGAATATAACGGTAGAATAATTTTACAATAGACTTAGATATATGTGAAGGTTTATATTTATTTTGTACATATGAATATATCTACTTTAGGGATATAGGAGATGTTGAGATATGAAGATTTATATCGGTAATATTTGTCATATCTCTAATATATCTCATGTCTGTATAGCTGGGCATTGAGTCAGCATGACTTGACTGAGATGAATTTCGAGGAAATTCATAAGAGACATAATATGACTGCTGTCACTTTCTTTTATCAAAGAGAAATAAGATCTATTTATTCACTTTGAAAAGTGGAATGAAGGAGATGAAAATGTTGAGTATCTTGCTCATTCATTTGACATCCCCATCATAGTAAACTTAAGAGGAAAAAAAAACGGCGAGAACTTGTGCACTACAATATATGAAATAGAATGAGAATGTACGAGTCATAAAATTGCGAGTAGTTGGCATCAAACGAAAATGAAGATGTATAAGTAGTAAGACGTCGGTCATTATATAATTAGATGCAGTACTATCATTAATAACAGTTTAGATTACATAACCATTTTTGTAGTAAAATCGAAGTATTTTACAGCAACATTCTTATAAACCTTCCAATAAAAAGATGCTGTTTTATCAAAAACGTAATTAGCATCGTCACAGTGACAACAAAATCCTGTTTACATGACATTTATTGAGAATAAAGCGTTTTTGTTTTTTCTCATCGTATTCTCTCATGACAAGATCTTTCTCTTTTTCTTTTATTTCTTTTTAAAAAAGATGAACCGCCATCTTTACATACATTTCCACTGCTGAAAATTATAATAAAAAAAAAGCACTTACAAGTGTTGGCTTCTCTCTCAAAGCATTTGAATATC